TGAATGTCTGCATGGTGCATGTCTGTAGTACTCCAGAGAGACCAGCAGAGGGCATGGATTGGATCCCTGAAACTGGATTAGAGGTGGTTGTGAGCCATGGGTGCTGGGGAATGAATGAACAGGTGTCCTTTGCAAGAGTCACTAGTGCTTTTAACTGCTGAACCATCTCTGCAGTCCACCAAATGCTTTGTAACTCTTTTTAAGTTACATGACTATGTAAGCATGAGACAACGACATGCTCTTTGAAGGCTTGCAGGACATTTCAGAAATGTATCAGTAGTTCTTAAAATTATTTTAAAACCAAGAGAAATAAATTATTGTTGCCAATCACTCATATATCTCAGAGTATCTCAAATTCAGTTGCTTTTAATTAATTATGGTTGCTTTAAATGCAAGTTCTTGAAGAGTGTATATTGCATGGTTTCAGGTTTTATAAGCACAAACAAGTTGAAAATGTTTTATCATTGGTGTTGCCTTAAAGTACTTCGATCCCCCCTCCCCCCCAGAACACAGGGTTTATTTATTTGTTTTTTGAATAATCCTTATTTTATTTTGTATGTATATGAGTGTTTTGCCTGCATGTTTGTGCCTGGCACCTGCAGAAGCTAGCTGAGGACATTGGATCCTGAGACTGGAGCTAGAGATGGTTGTGAGCCACCATGTAGGTGCCAGGAATCAAATCCTGGCTCTCTGCAAGAGCAGCCAGTGTTCTAAACCACTGAGTCATCTTTCCAGCCCCCTTGGCTTTCAGTGGGATAATGAAGTAGTTATGGTTACAGGTTTGGTTAAATGTCTTGGAAAAGTCCACTAGGTCTCTCAAAGTTTGACAGTGGATCTCAAGCTCCTGCATGTCACAATAGACAGCTCAAGATGGTTGGGCTTCCCCTTTGAGGCTTCTTATTCAGCAGATGTGGGCATGGTGTTAGGGTTAGCATTTCTAACAAATTGGTGTCAGAATTACACTGACTACCTGAATTGAGAGGCACAGTGACTTACTCGAGTGGAAAGCCGGAGGGCTGCCTCTGTTCCAAAAATTCATGCTTTTCTTCATTTTACTTCACAGTTGCCTGTTATAGAAGATAAGAAGTAGGGGAAACAAATAGTCTTTTAAAATTATACTTGCTTATTGGTGTGTTTGTACACACATGGAAAGGGGGGTGGCATGTGTATGCAAGGGCATGCTTTGGAAGTCAGAGGACAACTTTGATTCTGGTTCTCCTTCCCCCATGTGGGTCATGAGATCAAACTCAGATCATCCAGTTTGGTAACTAAGCACCTTCACATGATGACTATCTCATGGTGGCATGATTTTCACAGTTGGATTTTTGCATGGTTCCATGCTATGGTCCACTTGTTGTGCATGCTTTAGTATTGTAAGATTTTCCTTCTTTCTTTCTTTCTTTCTTTCTTTCTTTCTTTCTTTCTTGACAGTGTCTCACTCTGTACTCTTGGCTGGTCTGGAACTTGTATGTAGAACAGGCAGGCCTTGAACTCACAGAGTTCCTCCTGAAAGTTGGGATTAGAGGTGTGTGTCACTACAGCCATCTGTGATGGCTTTTGGTTTTCATATATTAGTCTTTCCCCTTATGGTTTTCAGTGTTTTAAGTTGGGAGGGA